CAGATAAGCCAAACGGATGAAAATGTAAAACTCAGGCCCTGAAAAACAAGAACAGACACACTGCATCCCCAACAAGCATGTCGTAGGAGTCAACTAACTGGGGGCTTTCTTCAAAGTCGGAGTGCATCTGCCGGCAAGGAACAACCAAGTACACACAAATAAGCCAATAAAACGGATGTATATGCAAAACTCAGGCCCTAGCACAAAGCTAAAGTCAAAATGGATGAACAACCAGGAGTTTCCACTGGAGCTTACAGCCTGTGAGTAAAGAAGAAGAAAAACAGATCTTTTATTCGTTTAGCATGTATAATACTAATAAAGTGCAGACCTGATGAGAACTTAAGAAATAGTTCTTCATATCAGAAAATCCTCTTATCCAGATAAGAATTCAAGCAACATCAACAAAATTAACAGATTGTTCTTCCCAACAAAATTCGTCATATCTGTTAAACCCTCTACAATGCAAGATGATAAACGCATGATAACTTCATAGTTAGCATAAATAATCCCAAAAGCAACCCAGGATGACAGAATATTTATATCCAACTTCAGTGGCTTGTCGCTCACCTATCACTACAGCAACAGAATCTGCAAATTTACATGAAAAAAAAAGTGGGGGGGGGGGGGGGGGGGAAGTTAAAAAACTAACCATATTGAATTCATCATCATGTGTATACTAATAAGCTTAGACTGTCATGTATTGCTATCTCACACAATTTCAATAATCATGGATTAGGTCAGTGTTCTTGTTTGACCCCTATCCATATGGCTGAACCATCCATATATTCAACTATTTGCCTTCCTCTTGCTTTTTTTCCATCCATCAAACGGGCTGACCCTAAGTTCTCAAATCCAGTGCCTTAAAAACACAACCTGTCTACGTCAAATTTCTCTCATCAGTTCACATTACTGTCTCTGTTTTTCTCACTCAGGCCACATTGTTCTATCCTTTGCTACTGCATGCAGTTTATCCTATGTCTTTCCTATCTTTTTAACGTCATTCTCTAGCTCCCTTCTCTTGTTTGTTGTTTGCCCCAAGCTCTTGTGGGTTCCAGTGAAAAAAATTTTTTTTTTCTAGTTGTATTTTTCTCAGATTTTCTCAAAGTGTGTCCTATCCAACAGCAGTATCTTTTCTTCACCTCTTGATTCACCAACTTTGTTTAATTCCCTCTCTCTAAGCTTAACATCAGTGATTCAATGTGAGTGTTTAAAAACACAAATAATGTTCTCAACATGATGAAATCCAACACAGTGTTAATGACTTGGTTATGCTGTACATAGAAAAAGTGGAGTTTAGAAACTAAATGATGTTTACTGTCACTACATCACTGGCTGGAAGCCGATGAAAAAGACATAGATTTATCATCATCATGAAGGTTCTTTGCTGGACATTGCTCCCACAGATCGTCAGAAAGCTATCTGATCTCTTGCTGTTCATGTCTCATGTATTTTCACATCTATGGTGTCTGTAAATGTTCTGCCTACCCTTTTACTTGTTGACCCCTGCCACTGTTTGCCTATGTGTGTATGTGCACACATATTTATACTCACACACACACACATTTATTTTGTTAAAGTTTGATATAATTATAGCAATACAAAGATTAAACAGCACTAAAAATCTATGGCTAAGTACCAGCAAGGAGATCAAAGTGAAAATATTTCCCTGTACCTACATAACATAACCCTTGACCCATTATGGTCGTGGAGATATATCGATGGAAGCATTAACACAAAGAAACCCGCTATCTTTGTCTCCTGCTAATTGAACAACTGTATGATAACTTAGTCGTGTCCACTTCTTGCTGTTGCCATTCCAGATTCTTCGTTAACAAGAAGAAGAACAGATTTATCTGGCCAGGGTGGGTATGAATGAGAGCACGAGACAGTGGAAGACAAAAAATAATCACACAAATGATGTTTCATGTCTTCATGAAGAATCATTGATGCCACCAGCTGATGTCTAGAGTTTATGAAACATGATTTCTGTCAGGACATGTTTTGGTCATTATTTGTATTGGTCATAAATAATGTATTCAACTTGAGGAGGTAGGAAGATTTATTGCATTGGAAATATAAAATATATGACTTGAGGAAAAGCTAGAAATCGTGTATGAAATGAAACAAAGAAACTGAACTGGTAGCCCACAAAATACTCATCTAAACATTATCTTTAACAACAAAGTTGGATAAGTAATTAGACGTAATGTGAAACTGTTGGCAAATAACTGCATTTTTAATCTCTGGATAAAAGAAATGCTTTTTTTTTCCCCATCAATCTTGCCAGTTATCACCAAGTTCTCAGAGCCATCTAAAGTTGTGTAAACTGTAAAATTCATGGCTCTTCTTGGTCTCTTGAAGAAGGTAGTTTGCCATTGCATACCTTCTTTGCAGTGACCATTCTAGCTGGGTGACCACAGTCTTTATCACTATAGCAACCATGACAGCATGCCTCAAGATTACAATCTTCAACAATATTTTGACAGGTGTACAACTGCTGTGTACAGAACAGTTTCAACCATAACAGCATGCCCAAAAAGAATAATATTCAAAAAATTTTTAATTAGATATACAACAACCGTGTACAGAAAAGTTCTGATATACAGTGACAGCATACTTCCAAAATGACAATATTTTATCAGATATTTAAAAGCAATTTATTGTGCAGCAGATCTCAACAACAAAAAACATTTTATATTACTGTATACCATCAAATAAAGAAGTTACAGTACAGCAGATCTCAAGGTTTAACAGAACAGAGATAATATAAATTAAAAAAATGTGTAAGGTTAACAAGATCCAACTGTTAAGAGAATGGTCACATCATAACAAATAACTGTTAAAAAAGAAGACAATGATTAAACCTCAATAAAACCAACATATCAACCGTGGTACAAATTCAGAAAATAAGAACAGGAATTGCTAGCCTCACTTACAAAAATACACAGACAGGGAACCGTAGAGGCCAAAGAAACAGTATATAGCAAACAGACATTAACTGATCGGCACTAGAAGAAAGATTTAAGGGAAAAAAAGCTATAGTTACCATGCCGAATCAAATTGAAGCTGTCATCTCAAAACGATGACAGCCTCTCTCTGCAGGAAAAAGTATACTTCATATTGCTAACTTACAGCATGATAACTACAGCTTTTGATTTTTATGTTATCTACTGTGTCCTCTCTCTCTACTTCTGTCTATGAGTGCCAATCAATACATGTCTGCTTATTATAACCTTACTTACATGACTAATGTGAATTAACTATGCTAGCCCGGCCAATGATAATGCCATCAAACCTTACTTACATGACTAATGTGAATTAACTATGCTAGCCCGGCCAATGATAATGCCATCAAACAGCTGATGTTTACCACTTTCACATCAAGAAGGATAAAATCAAATCCCTTCTAGTTGTGGCACAGCCCCATAAATGCTGATATATTCACCCCTTCTGCCGTGACCCCCCCCCCCCCCCTAAAAAAGCAGTTAAATTTTGTTGATTCTATGACTTCCTGAGTAGCCTTTAGACGGCCCAGATGTGAATATATTAACTAAATACAGCATTTAGAGGTTTCCTTGTAAAAATCCAAGTTTTTTTTTAAAGCTAGGTTGACTCGAAATGTTCCCATAAGCCTTAATGATAGAGGTTACCCAATACATATTTGTTTCAGGCCCCGCAGAATGCATTCCATTCAATGCATCCCTCTGTTCTTGTTTACTAATTCTTCTTCTTAAAGTCCATGCCGTGTGGCATTTGTAGTCATGTCTATTCACAACCTTCTGTCTCGTGTATTTTCAGTCAACTCAGATAATCTTCCATGCCATGATGTTAAAACAATCCAGCATCTCCCTCTGCCTTTCCTCCCTTCCAGCTTTCCTACTGTCATGTTGTACTCCAGTTTTCTCCTTCTCATCACATGACCAAACACTGTAGATTGTCTCTTTCTGATGTGGAATCAGTTCTCTTTGTGAGTCTTTTTTTTTTTCCAAGACATCTTTACTACTCTTTTTATTTGTCATTCAATTTACTCATCATTCATCTAAAAAACCACATCTACGCAGCTTCCAAATAAATTTTCACTAACTGACCAACTATCCCTGATTAACTTCCGGATATCAAGAGTTTACTGATTACTCCCTTTATACACATTTAGATATTTTGAAACATTTTTTAAAATGTAGATAATTTATAAGTCACTAGTGTAAAATAATGGTTTTTTCCCCCCAATGGATTTAGTTGTGGCCTATTTATGTTTGTAACACTAGCAAGTGAAAGGGTTAATACTAGCAAGTGAAAGGGTTAATACTAGCCAAATATACAACCTGGAGATTGCATAGTTATAGTACAGTCAAAATTGAATACATGAAATTCTGGATATTCCAGCAGTTTTATAAAACTAGAGTATAACTCCAGGTGACTGTCCCTTAGAGAAACATTTTCCCTGCATGTCAGCAATACTCTTAAGTGATCCAATCCTCTCCTTAAATTGTAGCATACTCCAAGTAAGTATCATGTGGTAGTTAATTGGCCTTCTTTCTCACTAGATTTTTGTTTCGATAACAGTCCAATGTAATTTTTTTATTTCTGTCATTTTCATGCTATTTCTACACATCTGAGATATGGTGTTAAACCAGTTATTTTTCAGTGGCTAAACAGCACACAAATCATGACATTTATTACAAATATCATGTTTTTACTCCAAAAGAGAATACACAATTAAAATCACATAATTCTATTACAAGGCTAAAATTGAAATCAACAATAATTCACATTAAAATAAGCATATTTCTGATGTACAATAATAACAATGTAATCAAATAATATGAGCTGAATATATGGGTCATTAACAATTATACATATATTTATCTGATGAACAAAACCGGGTTTATGAGTTCAATGCATGACTTCATCAACGTTCATTAACAATTATACATATATTTATCTGATGAACAAAACCGGGTTTATGAGTTCAATGCATGACTTCATCAACGTATGCTGATTTATGTGAAGGTTAATCCGGCTTCCTGGTAAACACCAAAGATCTTCTCGATGGCAGCCATGTAAGCAGCGGTACGGATATCCAGTCCGAGATTGTGCTCCATGGCAGTCTTCATGATCAACTGTAGAACAGAAACATAAAGTTGTGTGTTTGGCTAAATTGGTTACAAAAGAGAGAAACTAATGTTACATATTCAGTTTTCTGAAAGGCGAAAAAATAAACTGCGTGTTTAACTAGCTGAAAGATGAAAAATAAAGTTTGTGTGTTTACCTTGGGGGAGAAAAATAATGTTATATGTTTCAACTACCTGGGAGGAGAAAAATTACATTATATGTTTAACTACCCGGGAAAAGGAAAAATAAAGTTGTTGGTTTAACTACCTGGGAGGAGAAAAATAATGTTATATGTTTAACTATCTGAGAAGAGAAAAATAAAGTTATTGGTTTAACTACCTGGAGGAGAAAAATAATGATATATGTTTAACTATCTGAGAAGAGAAAAATAACATTATATGTTCATCTATCTGGGAGGAGAAACATAAAGTTACAGGTTTAACTACTTGGAAGGAGACAAATAAAATTACATGTTTAAATACTAGAGAGGAGAAACAAACATTACATGTTTAATTACGAGGAGAAGTCAAGAAGTAAGTCACAAATGGTTATGGGATGGCAAGTAAATGTAGCTAGGGGTGTCTAAAGGTGTCATTATTTGACAGCAACATCCAACTTTGTGCCTAAGTTCATTAGATGGGGTTTAGGTTTTGCAATCACATTCGCAACACAGAAACAAAATGGTGCCTGTACTTAAGGAGTATACCCTCAAAGAACAACGTGCTGTTGTGCACTTTTTGGGGGGCAAAAGGGCTGCCTGCAAAGGCCATTCATAAAGAAATGCTTCCTGTTTAAACTGATAAATGTTTGTCCCGTAAAGTGGTGGATAGCTAAGTCAAACAAAAAATTTAAAGGTGGCTCTAAAATTGTTGATGAAGTTCGATCTGGTCACCCTGTTGAGATTGCAACAGATGCATCTGTACAGCAGGTGGAGGAGATGATTAGAGGGGATAGGTGAGTAACTGTTGACTTTGTAGCAGCTGCAATAGGGTGCTCACATGGTTCAGCATACAACATAATTGAAATTTAAGAAAGTGGGTATCCAGACAACCGGCAGATGAACACAAAATGAAACAATCATTAGGCCTGTCCTTGCAGCATCTCTGTTGATATGTAGATGGAGAAAACATGCTAAACAGGATTATTACTGGGGACGAATCATGGGTGCATCACTACCAGCCCGAATCAAAAACGTTCTTCAGTGCAATAGAAACATCTTTCTTTGCCTTGAGTTAAAAAAGTTAAAGGTTACGCTATCAGCAGGGAAGGTTACGCTATCAGCAGGGAAGGTTACGCTATCAGCAGGGAAGGTTACGCTGACAGTGTTCTGAGATTGTCAAGGTGTGCTTTTGAACCAATTTTTTATAAAAAAAGGTGACAATGTGGATGCTGATTCATACTGTAAAGTTCTATCTTTACTTCATGATGCAATTTGAAGGAAACGACCAGGCCTGCTAACTAGAAGAGTACGTCTCCTTCGAGAAAATGCCAGACCACAAGCGGCTTGGTTAACTCAGGAGAAAATTAACCGTCTAGGGTGGGAACTTCTGAAACACCCACCTTACAGCTCCGACTTAGCCCCAAGTGATTTCCACCTTTTTGGTACACTGAAACACCATCTTAAAGGGAGAAATTTCACGAATGACGTAAAAGAATGTGAAGTGAAAATATGGTTTAGAAAACAAGAGCTCACAGTTCTGTACAGCAGGTGTAGGAGGACTGATAAAACAAAACAATGGGACAAGTACATCAGTGTTGGTGGAAATTATGTTGGGGAAAAAAAGGGACAGTGTATTTTTAAAAATAAATGGTTTCAAGTTTTTATCATCTATGGTTTTTATTTTTAAACAACCATTTGTGACTGACTTAATGACTTCCTATCATACTTGAGAGGAGAAACAAAGGTTATATGTTTAACTACTTCAAACAAACAAAACAAAGGTTGTGTGTTCATTACATGAGAAGAGAAAACAGTTATGTGTCTGAAGGGAGATATAAGATTCTTGCACTCTCTTCTGACCATGTCAATCACAGACACTCAGTTCTGTTGAAAAGTTCCTCTGTTTGCATCTTTACATCTTGTTCTACATCTCAGATTATGCGCCCTTTTTCTCTTTGGAATATGCCTTGTATCATATGTAATCACAAGGCATTCTCTCTAAGTGGGAAAACCATTTTATTTGCTGTTGGTCTATTTAATTTAATATCAGCTCTATGCTGGCTTATTTTCTTTATATGCAACTAACTTTTAATTTCATGTCACAACAGGCAAAGTCAGAAAGGCAGACTTACCCGAGCAGATTTCTCCATTGTCTGCTCAAGGCCAGAATGTACAATGTCTTTCTCTGAAGCGCCCTAAGGAAGAAAAGCAAAGTTAGAAGGAAATCACCACAATGCCTTGTTTTCTTTCTACTCTTCTTTCCTGCGCAGTGCATAACAGTAAATTCTATTTTTTTTCCAGCCAAAAAGGTCCTTCGATGCTGCAGATATCATCAGCCTCCATTCATCTCTGTGACTGGCCTTCACTCTTCAGTTGGTGACAAGGTTCCCTAAAATTCCTATTTTAATTTTCAATTGCTGTATATACACAGTATTTAGGCATATTTGAGACATGACATTGGTCCCTTATCCCAAAAACAAATGCCTGATGAAAATGATGAACATAAAAATAACTGAAGGAATAAAGAAATGTCTGGGCAACCAAAAGTATATTTTTTTTAAAAAGTACAATGACAGCACTATTTTGGACACATTCTTCCCCGTGTGGGTTCCGGGGCCCTGTTATAGGGAAAACAATAATAGACTCACTGCCTACCCAAAAGCCTGTCGTAAGAGTCGACCAATTGGGAGCTTCCTTCGAAGTTGGAGTAAATCTGCCCGAGAGGCAAACAACCAGCAGTCTGCATACAAATTACTCAGACCTGTAAAACTGATGCACACGCAACACTCAGGTTCTGGAACAGGACTGCAGTCCAGAAGTGGATAAACAACCAGAACTTTCTGCCAGAGTTTACAGCTGGTGAACACGAAGAAGAAGAAAAGGACACATTCTAATGAGACAAACACAGAATCACCAAAGAGGCACTTAAATGGTTAACAAAGGGACTGATGAAATGAGGACATCCAAGTGAAACTCCAAGGTGAATGTTGATGAGGGAAGCCAAAGGTGCTTGACTGGATTCCACATCCAAGGAACTGAAGTGATTGCACAGAACAATACAGAATGGAGAAACAGTCTACAGGCCCTATGTGACATATAGGAGCACAAAAGGGCAATGAATGAGCACAGTGATTCCCAATCTGTGTGTCGCAACACCAAAACCTCTTCACAGGGCGCAGCAAAATATTGTAAAAGCTTCATAATTAATTTAACCAAAACATGAAGAGTCATAATTTTACTTAGGTTAGGGCGCCGTGGAGCAATTTTAATTGAAAAAAGCCGCGACCAAGAAAAGTTTTGGAAACACTGAATTGGCCTATTTTTTTTCCTTATAATCCATGTAGTGAGGCATCAGTGATCATGTTTGTAAACAGCCTTATCTCATACATACACTGACTATAGGCCCAGCTTACATACCTTCTGTACTTTACATTTATCTGAAAAGGTTAGGTATCAAACATCACTATCCAAGAGATCAGGAAACACATAATGTCTTTAGAAACCAATGTTTAAACATTGTTTAAAAGCCGCAGTTACTGTCTGTATACCACTGTTGTGGTGTAGGCAGTGGAGTCTTCCAGCCTGAGGATTTAGGGGTGCTTGGCTCATGCTGTTACCATGGACTGTGAAGGTTACGATTTTATTTTTGTTCCTGACAGGAAAAAAAACCGTAACTTTACAGAGTATTCAAACCTGGAGTAGAGAAAGGCATTCTTAACCGCTGGGCCAGTCACTCCTCCTAGAAATCAATGGCTGGTATAACTAGCTTTAGACCTGAACAAATATCTCCACATTCGAGGGCAGAAGAGGCTCGATTAAGTAAAATAAAAACTTGGAACAAACTAGGTTAACCTTTGCATCCCCACACATATGAATGTCCAGCTAGCAACTCTAAAACACATCTTTAGGATTCAATAAAATGTAAAAGAAATAAATCAAGCAAATTACAATCCAATCTTCCTTGGTGAAACCGTAATGATAACTGGCAGCACATAATTTCATGAGGTTGGATTCCTAATTTGAGCTATAGTCAACATTAATAAAAATCTGGAATTGCTGCGGCCTGAACCACTGTACCACAAGACAGTAAGTACAACCTTAAATCACTTAAAATAAAATGAAGAAAAAAATAAGGCACCTCAAAAAAAAAAAATACTTACAGCAATCCTTTTCTCAAATTCTTCACTTGGGACAATGGGAATTTTACCGCCATTTTTCCCAAATTTACGCTCTAAAGATCTTTGCACACTCTCTGAAATAAGTCAGAGGAAAAAAAAATGATTCACACCAGCAACTTCTCTGATCTAAACAATGAACAATCTTCAGGCTGCTAATTGTAAATAAAAAGTTTAAATATCACATGTTTGACAAACTAAAGATAAAAGATACAGAAGGATATAATTAAACATTTTCTGCAACATATTCACATACAGAGCAGGGAAATTATAAAAGCCTACCCTGTAGCTTTTGAGGATAAACTCTAATGATAAGTAAACAATCTCAGACTATTATTCTTTTATCCTGTAAAGATCGGGGGTTGGGGGGCCTCACAAAGCATGTTAAAAGGGACACATCCTTATAAATAATCAAAATTATACCCTTCAGAAACAAGAGATGAAGATCAGAAAAAAAAGTTTGCCAGGTTCTAATTTTTTATAAAAATCCCCGGGTTAAAACACATGATGACTAACTAGATAGGCAAGTCTTCTGGACACTGCTGAACTTATATTAAAAAATGACTATCATTTTTAAACTGGTATACATGAAAATATACAAACATTTGTAAAAACTTTGTAAATCATTTTGTAAAACTGGCATAACTATACATGAAGGGAAGTAATAAATGAACGCAAAAAAGCAAGCAGCCGCTGGTTGAGCGGTGCAGCATCAAGGCTCATATACGGTAGACCCAGGTTCAACCTCCGGTAAGGTGATGGAATTTTTTTATCGGGAACAAAAATTAAACATCCTAACCTACACAGTCAGTGGCAACAGCATTTGCCATGCGGCCTTAGGCGCATTACCCCTTCACCCCCTCCCCCCCCCCCACCCCCCACCCCCCCCCCCCACAAAAGTGGTAAATACAAACAGTAGTGACAGTAAGACAAATAAAGCTTTTTTAGATGTTGGGGAGTCCCCGTGGCGAAGCGGCTAGATGATCGTCTGCAAATCGTGGGTTCGTTCCCTCGTGGAGCCGCGACTTTTTTTTCTTCAAAAATGACCTTGGCTCCCAGGCTGACCCAGCCTTGAGTGGTACTGGGTGCCTCCCAGATAAGTAAATGCGGGTCGGGCAGTGATTACTGACCACATCACTCAATATTGTGACGATTGTTGTCTATAGAATATAGGTCTAGCCCTATATTGCCTAAATGTGCAAAGGACCTTTACTTTTATGTGTTCTGTTTACACAAAAACTTGTTCCATAAACACAATCAAACTGGATTAAGGCTTTCCTAAAAATCAAGTAACTGACGTACCTACGAGGTGTTAGTTTTGAATCCTCTCTCATATTGGAATGTTAAGGACGGCCATAACTGACTATGGTTGAGGTTTTTCAACCACTCAAAATAGAAACAGTGACACCACCGGCATTCACAAATAAATCTAGTTGGGGGAACAAACAAATAATAAATCAATCTGATTCATTATACAAGATGTATATTATCAAACGAACTCTCCTCCTACCTTCAGGATCAAACAGCTGTAAACTCCCAGCCGGAGGTCTTCTGGCTGTATGTCTATTCACTTGGGTCTTGTATTTGTATGTGGGAATATGTTTAAATACGATCTGGCTCATTTGTATACTAATCCAGGACATTATGAAGTGCAGAAAATAAGCAGGCTGATCAGATTGGCTTGCTTCCTGTTCCTCTGAGTGGTGAGCTCCTATTCTATTGCGCAGACATGGTGAAGGGTCTCTGGATTCAAACTAACAATGCAGCACAACAAAACCAGATCATACTTTAAAAAACCGCTTACCGTGTGGGTTCCGGGGCCCATTTGGGGAAACAAAAGAGACCACTGCCCACCCAAAAATTCTTAAGAGTTG